CATTACAGAGACTAATAGGTCTGAACTCGGTCATATCCCGAGGTTTCTTCTTCTTAGGGATGAGACAGATATTTGTCTGGTTCAACAAAGGGTCAAGAAAGCCTGTCTCGAAGAAATCTTGTACAAATCTAATAATGTCTTGACGCATCTCTCGCCAGAATCTCTGAAATAATTTACTAGTCATGCCATCCGGTCCCGGAGCTTTGTCCGGGTTAATCTCAAAAAGAGCTTTCCTAATTTCATGTTCCGACGGTTTCTCTAAGAGTAACCTATTGTCGGCTTGAGACACCTTTACTGAAATAAAACGGAGGGAACTATCTATCTCTGTTGGCAAAGAAGTAGAGAAGAGATCACGAAAATATTGAACAGCCACGTTCTCTACCTCGATTTCACTCTCTACCAACTTTCCATGCTTATCTTTAATACTGATGATTCGGTTCTGGGCTCTTCGTTGTTTTGTGGTGGCATGGTGGAATTTTGTGTTTCTGTCCCCATATTTATGCCACTGGTTCCTACTTTTTTGTTCCCAAAACGTATTTTCTTCTTTAAAAGCCAGAATTAACTGTCTTCGTAAATCCTCCAGCTCTTCTGTCGTAGAATTATCATCCTCTTGTGCCAAGTCGATCTTATCTTTTAATTCTTTAATTAGTGTAGCGGAATTTGTTGGGTTTTGCTTCTTCCATGAACTAATTCTATTACGACATGAGGTAACTTTTTGATGAAAATTCCTCATTGGAAATTCATCAAATTGTCCCCATCCCGAGACTACCGCTTCCTTGAACCCCGGTTTACCGATCCATCTTTTGTCGAATCTGAAATTCTTTCTTGTCCTCCTAGTACAAGATTGAATCCGTGCTAGAACTGGTCTGTGGTCTGATCCCCATAATTGTAGGAATTCTACAACTGAATGGGTAAATAAAGCATGCCATTCTTCATTTGCCACTGCTCTATCAAGTTTACATTTAACTTTTCCGGATCGTCTTTTCCCCACCCACGAGAATGAGTTCCCTTTGTATGGGAAGTCAAGCATTCCACAATTTTCTAACATGGTTCGGAAAGGGAGAAAAGAGCTCTCTAAACGACGTCTTCCTCCCCTCTTCTCATGGTTTCCCGTGATTTCATTAAAATCTCCAACCATAAACCATGCTTTACTACGTGTTGAACTCATGCGTGACAATCGTTCCCAAACTTGGTCGCGATGTCTAACAACAGGGTCACCATACACAAACGTCATATAAATCGCATATCCTTCGAGTCGGGTTTCAATATCAATCATGTGCACATCTGCATACAAGATGGTAACTGAAGGATCATCCATATACAAAAGTGCTAGGCCACCGCTTCGTCCACGCGGCTCAACGGTATAAACTTGATCATACCCATAAGAAACTTGTAGATTTTGCAGAACATCACGACTGTTTTTTGTTTCTGATAAAAATAAAAATTTTGGTCGAAAACAATGATATAACTCGTCAAGATGTTCCTTCGTCAAATCGGCTCCTACACCTTGACAATTCCATGCCACCACATTCATCTTACAAAATTAATAATCCTTAGAAAAGTATAGGTATACTGGACACATTAATATCAATTAAAAACTGATATAGTGAGCCAAAACCACTGCTTGTTGATATGCTGAAAATCTTTAACAATTTGGTTGCTTCTTAAGTCGTTGTAAATATAGTAGCAAGGACTGGCCCAGGTGCTAGAGACTCAAAACCCCGTAGCAAGTGAAAAACTTAAAACAAACTTTGGTGCATTAATGTCTATAGCACTGATAGTCTCTTCCTTAGTTCCTTGTATTAAACCTTTGTTGAACCAATGTTGGGCTTTTGCTTCCTAATAGACTTTGACAATAGATAAAGCTTGTATAACCAATGTAGATCCTATCCAAGATTAAATCAGATTCTTTTCCTCCGTGGATTTTCTTGGTGGGAGTAGCTGTTTGTCACAAAAAGATTTTATAATAGAACTAGACAATTAATAACTGGTAACAAGTGAAATGCTTAGCACGTAGCTTGAGAATTTTTTAAACAAAAAGTCTCCAACTCCAAACTCAAAGTAATGCTGCTCAGGTCTAATAAGAAACTGAGAGGATTCACAGCTGATATGGACGAGGAGATAAGCCAATAAACAATCTTTCAGGAACTAGTCTCCACACTCCCTTGTTTGAGATAAAAGATCAAGCTTGATATGATCCAAAGATTTAATCAAGATACACAGATCTTGTAAAAGGAACAAACGCCAGCATACGCCAGACGCCGTCGTTGATGGTCTTCGAAATTTCTTGAGTAAATCTTGATGGAGCCAACTTAGTATCAAGAGGAGAGCTTCGTACTGATTTTGTGACAACGTCGGGGGAGGAGGGAGATGATCCGGCGTCACAGATCCAGTTGGAGATGACAACACACTTCTCAAGAACTTTATAAATAGTGAAGGAGTTGAGCACCCACGCTCAAAAACCCACAACTATATATCTCCAAGATTACAAAATAGAGAGTGAGATGCAGGTGTAAGGCAAAAAGATGAAAGGCTTGAAGTGCAGCAGGGAAACGCAGGTGTCGAGGAGAAAACGGAAGCGCGGCAGGAGATCGGAACGTTTTATGACTTTGGTTTCTCAGATCCAAAAGAGAAGTCCGACGACATCGTCAAATGGAAAGTGAGAGTAGCCGGCAAGAATCTCCAACGCTTCAGACATGGTGGAGGAGGACGATGAGATTCAAAATTTGAATCTTTACAGTGCCTCGAAAACAGCGCCTGGGAGCGTTTTACATTTTTTATTTTTTGTAGCGGTTAAAAATTACCACACACATATATATATATATGATATTGTGAGAGTGAAGCATCCATCACCTAAACAAAAAATGGATTAATTTTCATTTTAATTCAATTTTAAAACACATATGTGGAAGAAATGAAGTGTCACAGAATCTTGATTATCTAATGGATAAGGGCCATAAGGCAACAATTGATTCTATATGGATTCCTTCACAATCACAATCACCATTCTTCTAAAGCTAATATGTGGATAGAATCAGAATTCAGAAGAAACCAAAATCAATAAATGAAAGATGAGGGACAAAGCTGGATGCTTCCATTGGTTGGTGGGAATCTTGTAGTTGTATATATTTTGTGTTAAATGAAACTTAAAATAAGATTACCAGAACAACATAAGAGTAGTATCTTTCATACAGCTTTCTTCTTCTTATCAACCCTTAAAATAAGACTACGAGAAACAACATGAGAGTAGTATTTTTCATACAGCTTTCTTCTTCTTATCGACCCAACCTTAGAGAAAGATAAAGACTTCTATTTGGGCCTTATTGCTTTGGGCATAACTACGAATGTTAAATCAGCCCACTGTAATTCATAACATATATGCGCAGAATAGATGAACAAGTACGTGACGTGATATGATATGAAGTTGTCAGCTTTCATGGGGACAAAAAGATTGAAGTATTATTGGCCAGAAAAGCGGAATTAATTTGATGTAAAATTACAAAGTTATAGATTATAATAGTCAGGGATTAAGACATCGCACCACTTGGTTCCTTCGATATGATTTAACCTCTACCAAATTAATTGGTCAATAATACTCTAATGCAATTGGATAAAGAAAGTACAATGAATCCATTTAGATAAGAATATAGGAACATTTACTGTTACCACTTTTTTGTCTGTAAAACTCTACTAAAATTTTGAAGGAAAACAAGGATAATAAATACTTAAGCAGACAAACAAACACTAGTTAATGACCCATGAAACTTAAATTCCTCACATGCCAGTCAAAGATTAACCACTGAAAATAACACAATCTCCTTCAATCAGACTAGAAACTAAACCAACTTAACATAGAACCATATAGCAGAGGAATCAAGTAGAAGACAATCACAATGAGAACTTTAATTTCTTGTTTTACACACGTTCCGAAATAATCGGACCATTCAGAAGTTCTGTGTAATGTAATGATTTATGAATTTACACACTAACTAAAAAATATTTGGATTATTATTTCGACTTCTTCTTTATAAAGTGGACCAACTTTGCAAATTTTGTGTGGGTGTGTTTTGTTCATGGCCCATCTAATGATACTAGTTTTGTCTTTCATTTGCTACTTTAGTGAGATTACTAGTAATTTGCCATTTAAAACAACCAACCTTTACTTAATATCTTAATCCATAAACAAAAGCAGATATCATGTACACTAATTTAGAATAGAAAAAAACAGTGTAATCTCGTTTGCAATTATAACTTATCCAAAGACGGATTAGTTGGTTTCACCAAAGCATCTTTTTATTTTTCCCAACTCCCCAAGTTGCATATGATTGATCTTAAGAAAATACTTTAGTATGTACTATTATTAATTAATTTAAACATCATATCCCACCACTACTTGTCACAACTGTTCTCTAATGGAGCGTGTGTTTTGACTCAGACTGCTAGAGACATTCAGTTGGTACGTCGTGTACACGCTCCATCAAGTAGAGACAGGAGACACAACACAAGTAGTCGTAGTAGTGATAAATCAGTGAAACTTTTATATTACATATCTCAATCTCTTCCTAGTCTCATCAGGTCCTTATTTGCCAATAATATGAACAGCCATAGCCTCTTGTCCATTGATGGAGGAAACACTTCTTGTTCCTCCTCTCTATCTCCCCTCCTTAACTTTCAGCCAACTGATACCAACACAAGCTTCTGTTTCAGACCATCTCATTTCCCTAATGGATCATTCTCCAGGTCTTCTGCCTTCTGCAACTTATCCTCATCTTCAAGCTCTGACACTCAGAAACACCTCGGGACCACTCTTCCCTTCCTTCCAAATCCTTCCACCGTAAGCTCTCCAGCTGAGGATCTTCTGAGCATTCCATTTGAAGAAGTAGACACCTCTTTTCTTTCCCTTTCTGATGAAGGTTTTCAAGATCTTGACGACTTTTCCTTATCCGAGGAGCAAATGGAATTGCAGTTCTTATCTGATGAGTTGCAGTTAGCCATCACAGACCGTGCACAAACCCCCAGGCTTGATGTAACTTCATTTTACAAGGCTAATAATGTTACTTCTTGGGACTGTGTGATAAAAGTGTCCTTAGCTTTTAGTTTTTTTTTTATTTGATTTCAGGAGATCTACCAAGTGAGTGGATCGAGTCCTGGCCAAAACTGTGTTCCTGCAGCAATGCCTGTTTTATCACAACAGCCTTCTCCAGGATCAGGAGTTCACCAGAAACCAAGAATGAGATGGAGTCCTGAGCTCCATGATTGTTTTCTAGAGGCTGTCAAGAAGCTTGATGGACCTGAGAGTAAGTTTAAGCTTCTTTCTTATATAAGTAAGATAAATTTGTTTTAACGAGGCGTTGCTGACATTATATGGCAGAGGCAACCCCAAAGGCTGTAATGAAGATGATGAATGTGGAAGGTTTGACAATCTATCAAGTGAAAAGCCACTTGCAGAAATATAGACTAGCCAAGCATATGCCAGAGAGAAAGGAAGGTAAAGCTTACAAACTTTACTTCTTACATTGGTCATCTTAAGAACACTTTGTTTATTGTTGTTGTCTCAATTTGTTTTGCAGAGAAGAAGACTAGTAGTAACTCAGAAGACAAGAAACGAGCTTCCAGTACCAGTGAAACAGAGGGTAGAAAGAAAGGGTGAGGTTTGCTAGCTTAATATTGGCTTCTTGGATATGTATATATATATTTTTTTTCCTTAAAAATAATTTTGTGTGAGCAGAGCCATACAGCTAACGGAGGCTCTCAGAATGCAGATGGAAGTGCAGAAACAATTGCATCAACAGCTAGAGGTATATAACACACATTTGTCATTTCAAGATTTGCTCACAACCAATCCAATAAAATATACTTTTGGTACATTGGTGGAGCAGGTACAGAGATCACTTCAACTAAGGATAGAAGAGCAAGCTAAATACTTGGAGAAGATCTTGGATGAACAGCGCAAAGCAGCCACCACCTCCATACAAGAATCCAAGCTTTCATCATCATCTATTGCTAAAGATGATGAATGTGAAACTTCCCCGAAACGTCCAAGGCTTGAGAGAACTGAATGAACATCCCACGAGCTAGTTTTTTTTTTTACGCCTCTCAGATCTCTCTATTATTTTTGATGTAAATATGTGTTTTATTTGGTAGATTATAGCTCAACCCGTTGGTGTTTACTACTAGTAAGACTATGTATATATTGCCAAATTCTTATCGTTATTTTACAAAAGAATCAATAAAACAAAAGATTTGGAAATTTGCAGGCAATACAAAACAGAATTCAAACCAGACACCTTACAGATTTGAGGTTAATGAGTGTAAAGGCATATATTGAACTCTATGAACCATGCATTGCAGGAGAGGGAATGGATTCTGATGAGTATCCAAAATTGTCCTTGGTGCTCAATACCTGTGAGATAACAAATTAAGTCTCACATTGAAGAATTAAACAAGGAGAGTCTAATATATAAAGAGATGTACAACTCTAATAGTACGAAAAAGTATATCCATGCGGGCTTGCCTACTAGGCCCAAAGTAAACAATATCGTACAGGAGGTAGTCTCAACTCTCAGCATATGCTTTGTATGTTGTGCATCTTTTATACTTCACCTTTTAATAAAAATACACTCTTTTTTACTCTTTTCAGTTATATCAGTGGTTTCTTCTATCTACTTTGATCATTGATGAGCATAAACTCATAAACAGATAAAGCAAGTTAAAGTCGCAAGACTAACTTCATAAACAGACAAAACCAAGTTAAAGTCTAGGGAAAATAAACACACAGCAACACAACAACACATAAGCTAAAGTGATATCATATTGTCTCCATAGATATAAGAAAGCATAGACACATAAAACATTCATTCATCAATCAATAACAATGATCTCTTCTCTGGCCTTCTTGGAGGTGAGGACAAACTCATCGGGCTTGACGAGATTGAAGGTACACCTGTCACCAAACGATAATGGGTACTCTCGTGCGAGTTTCAACCATCCACTTGAGAAGATTGACTGAGGCCTCACCAAGCAAAGCACCTCCCATGAACCCTTTCCTTCCGAGTGATGTATCTTGTACACCTCTGACTCATTTTTGATGTACTTGTCCTTAAACCTCTTTGGGATTGCCTGGTAAAGAAAAAAACAGCAACAAAGATTCACATATCAAACCATTATAGAGACTGTGTGTATTGTGTTGTTGAGTCTTTGGTATTAATCTTACCAACATCTTGAGGTGTGATTTCCTTAGGGTGATTTTGAATCTTGGAACACCATACTTCACTTTCTTTCTCTTTATCTTCTTGGATGGTTTGTGCTTCTCATCTTTCTTCTTTTTAAGCGCAGCTCCCCTCGAAGATTCACCTATCTCCACAGCTCTCTTCTTCTTCTTCACTTCGAGCTCAATTCCTTCCATGGACTCATCTTCCTTCTTCACATCTTTGTAGCTGCTCCCATCTTCTTCGTTCTTGATCCCACCTGTTTGCATCATCAAAGTAAAAGAATTGGTTTTTCTTCATAATCTCATCTGTTTCATAATCTCATCTGTTTCATAAAATTACTTTTAAACATAAAAGCTTTACTAGGAGTCGTTTTGTGGGGTTTTCGAGGTACAACAATCTCCTTGCCATCTTTTTTATAGATGTTGACATTGAAGCACATTAGTCCCTTGTGAGTGAAGGTCACAAACTCGTCTGCTCCCAAAGCATTGTCCCTCACAAACTGGTTCCATCCGGACTTCTCCATGTAGTAGAACCTTGGGTTCTTGGAGATGTCTACTTCCCATGAGCTTCCCCACTGTGCTCTTATCACCGCCTTGTTGGACAAGTCTTCCTTTGAGACATTCTTCATGAACTCGTAAGGAAGCGCTCTCTGGTTTCGACATTGCAATGAAAAGAATGTGAAAACAATTAAAATTTCTTGTCAAATTGCATCAAAGAAGGCTGAAGTTTTAACCTTTAACCTAGACTCATAAAATTGGTCTTATAACGAACAGAACAAGAAACTGAGATCCAAAGAATTGAGCATGAATATACATACAAAGAAGCAACACTAACTTGAAACCAAGACTGAATCTTTAACTTGAAACCCACTAAACAAACAAAAGAAAGACTCTGCTTTTGAAACAGAGTTATCAAGAAAATGACAAAGCTAAGTACAAGAAAAGGTTTAGATCAAAGTTACCATGGATTCAGAGGATAAATCTGCACTCTGGAATATCTTGAAGAAGCTCAAGTTCTTTGCCTCTTCTTTGACCCGATCAAAACCACGATTCAACCCCATCTCGCTCTCTCTCTCTCTCTCCTTCAACACTTCTTCTTCTATCTAAAAACAAAACCTCTTCACTTTCTCTCTCTTTTTCGCAGTTTCTGTGGCTCTCTCTGGTATTGCAAGTGAGAAAAGTATGTCTCGTACTAGTTTTTCAATTTCAAAGTGTTTTACCTTTTTCATCATAATTGTAGTCAAACATAAAAGACACAAAGCTGTCAAAAAAACTGACTTCACAGACACGCAAAATCAAATGCTAGTTTTGGTATCTGAGAATCCCTGATGTCGCAGAAGGACACACTTCAGACTTACCGTTCGTATGTTTTGATACAATTAAATCACACTAATATTTAATATTATTTTTTCTTTTTTGTAATACATTTGAACCGGAGTATATATTCAGTAACTTGTTTTTTTTTGAACATATTCAGTAACTTGTTAACATTTATAATTTTCAGGGCAGTCAAAGTAGATAACTTTTTCTCTAGAAACAGAAAAGTAAAACCTATGGTACAAAGATGAGATCACCTTCTGGATCACACCCACACACCAAAGTAATGTGTTTCTGTAATACGTAAAGAAAACATACACATATATACACCCAACCGCACATACATGCATATATGTTAACACTTCTTACGCTGTTAAACATGTTCTTTTTGTCAAAACCGTGAAATTACATTTGCTCGTATCAAAATCATGTCCACCAAAAACATATGATTACATTTTCTTGACGTAACATTATGTTTTCACATTAAACTCAGAAAATGACTTTGTGTCAAAATCGTGAAATTATGTCTTTCTTTCAATTTAAAATTTTTCCTTCAAAATCGTAAAATTATTGGTTCTCTTCAAATGCGTAAAATTGTATTTTTTTAACTAACCATAGAATCATTTTTTGTCAATTTTTTTTTTGTTTTACTTCAAAATTAGCTGGTACTTACTCTAATTGGACCGCTTTTAAAATTGGACGAGTACATAATAACCCATCCACAATGAATTGGATTGGTCATGCGCATACACGGACAGAGACAAATTATAGTTTGCAATGTAATTTCGGAATTGTAATTCATCTATATTGGATAGAACCAAAACCCTTAGAGAATGTGCAGTATTGTGCAATGTGCATTCCATAACGATACAATAATAATGTATGTATTCGCCCATGCACACGAATGTGAATACCATTACGATACAATAATATATTGTATGTTTTGGAACCTTACAAAAACTCCCCTTCCAGTCTTATGGATAAACTAAAACCCTTGCAAAGAGCTTCCATAATATCTCATGGCATCAACCGATCTACATGTATTGTTTTTGTCCTTCTCTTTAACATGATAGAAACATTTTAGTCCTCCTTCAATTGATGAGATTTTGAAATTAGGAAATAGACAAAATGTGTCATAATACCACACATGCTATAAACGCATAACACTATGAATTAATTTGAGTAATATACTAATATCTAGAACAATTCCAACATTTTGGTTTAATATTACTCTTGAGACAAGTAAAATATAGCAATTATATTAATGAATTTCTTTTGGCATCTATATTGGTAGTCTTCACGAAGATCATATGTGAACGCTAATCATACATTCATGAAAACACAAAAGCGTGTACTTATTATAAGATTCATTTATTGGTAGGTGGACCATATAAGAAAATATTAATTTTGACACAGAGTTGAGTAAAATAAATCTAAATCACAATCCCTCTCTCAGTAACATAAAGAGTCAATAAACTTATCAAATATCATTATCAAATGAATTCGTCTAAACAAACAAGCACAAAAGAACAAAAAGTAACAAAGCATAATTAAGAAAATGAATTTGGGCTAGTTACGGAGTTGAAACCGGCCCATTTAAAAAATGACTGACCCGAATAGTATAAAGCGTACGAGCTGGGGGTGTACCCTGAGGATGAGCTGTATTTTTCTTTTTTAATCAAAGAGGATGAGCTGTATATAAAGCTTGTCTCGGTCACTCTCACTTGTCTCCAAACCCTCACAGATTCCCTCGAAAGACTCTTCGTCCTAATAGCAACCAAAGACATGGCTTCCGCCTGTGTTAAAAACGCTGGTGTTTCTCCAGCGGGGTACTCTTTGTACGGACGAATGTCTTTGAGGCGAGAAGAAAGACGCTCTGAACCAGTGGTAAATTTTGAGTTTTGTCCCGAAGATCCGGTCACAATGCTCTCCGCTGCCGACGAGCTCTTCTCCGACGGAAAGCTCTTACCTCTGAAGTTCTCCGGTCCAGAGATGAGGCAGCCGCCGCCGCAGCAGACTTCCACTGCTGCTCCTGAACTGCCCGAGGTTCACCGGAGGCTAGAGATGGAGATCTCAGACCTCTTCTCCCCGAAAGCTCCACGTTGCACGACCAGATGGCGAGAGATTTTAGGCCTCAAGAAGCTTGCTAACGCCAAGTCACATGAATCTTCTTCCTCCAAAACGTCGTCGTTTAAGCAACTTCTTCAACGTGGATCTAAATCCTCAGATGCTACTCCTTTGTTGTTGGTGAAGGAATCAGATATCTCATCTTCACGTCTCTCTCTATCATCCTCCTCCTCTTCCTCTGGCCACGAGATCGATGAGCTTCTTCCAAGACTCTCCCTAGACAAGCCCACTCCGAATCCATTTGCTCCCTCTCGGACCAACAGATTAGTCTCCAACCAAAGGCGTCCCTCTAATATTCCGACCTCAGTGGACGTGACAGCAGATAGTCCGAGGCTTAACGCATCTGGTAAAATAGTGTTTCACGGACTTGAAAGAAGCTCGAGCAGTCCAGGTAGCTTCACCGGCGGGCCGAGGCTGAAGCAGCACCATGGAATGCCGAGATCCTACTCTGCTAATGTCAGAGTCGCGCCTGTTCTCAATGTTCCCGTTTCTTCACTCAAATCAGGCCTTTTCTTAGGCCACATGTTCTCTTCTTCGTCTCCTGGGAACAACAACAAGTCGATGTTACAGAGTAACGGTAAAAACCGGGCTAATCGAACCAGGCTTGAACCGAAATGCGAGCTGAATAAGTAAAACCGGTGAGGGGAGGGGGGGGGATCTTATGATTTTTGTTTTTAACGGTGTTGTAGTGTAAACTGATGTTTTATTTGAGGGCAGAAGATGTAATTACAGTTTAACTAATATCTTTCTCTGGTTATCATCGTATCGCATTAGTCACGTTCTAACTTCTGTAATCTCATTGAATGAGTTTGTTGGTTATTACACAATTTTTTAAAAAATCAAACAGTAATCAAATATACTAGTACTACTCTGTTGGAATGGAAATATAAAGTTGAAACTAAAGTGATTTTGTTAAGTACTTGGTTAAGGGAGAAGTTTCTGAAAAAAGGCTGATGCTAAAATTACCTTTTGTGTTTCCTTTCTCCCTCCCTCAATAATGTGTGTTTGCATGTCACTGTCAGTGGAGATCCTTATTGCAAATCTCCCTCACTTATTCAACATTCTCAACTTGAATATGTATATTGAAAAGGAATTAAACAACATAATAATAAGCTCAATTTTTAAAGAAACAAGTACAATAGTTTAAGGAGAAAAAAAAAACATAAAAGCAGCTTTTGATTTGGGTTAGAAGGATGTGGAGAGGAAGTACTAATTGGAAGTGCATGTGTAGTTAGTAGAGTATAGAGCATAGCCTGATAAGTTGGTCGGCGGACCAAATCGAGAGAATCGATCACCATTAGACTTTTTAATCACTTTTTGCATTGTTCAAAAAAGTGACAGCCTAGCTAATCAGATTATTTTAAAGGATGCTAAGCATTTAGGGATTGGTTACTCTGTCAACAAACTATTGTACAAGAAAAATGAAATTTAGTTGAAGCCTCAGTAATAATAACATATGCTTATTAAATCTGTTGTCTAGGTAAATGTTTAATATAATCTACGTTTTGGAGTTTTGAAGAGACTGAAGAGGCAATTAACGTATAAAATAAGTATATAAGATTAATCAAGGGACAGATTTTGGATCACTGTTGAGGGTTAAAGCATGAAGAGAGCTGTCATTCTAACGTAGTAGCTAGCTTCAGACAGTAAGTAAATCAAATTCGTTCCGTATTGTTGTTATTATTATTATTTTCGATAACAATAAAAAAACTATATAAAGTTGTTCGTGATTCTTGAACATCATTTCTTAAATCCCAGCCGTTGGATTCTCATTTCCCAATCGCCACAACATGACGACAAGAACACATGCAAATACATATTTGTGTATTCATAAAGCACAATTACATCCTAAAGAAAATATTTTTCAAAAGGAAAAAAGTTTGCTAGCTACACGAAGTATTGGCTAATACGGTGGTAACCATCCCAGGTTTCAGAATGTGTCGAGAACTACACGAAGTTTATTTAAATACATGCCACATATACGAACTTACTAATTATATGGTGCCAACATCACGACCGAGTTTATTTGATTCTAATCAAAGGTTTTGGGGCCAAACTGTAATTAACTAAAAAATCAAGTTAAAACAAAAAACAAAATAAACCGAACGAACCAAGAACAAATCGTTGGTTTTGTGCTGGTTATCTCTAATTGTTTCTCTCGGTTTTGTGCTTCGTTTAGTAAGAGAAAAAGAGGAAGTCCGAGAGACAGAGAAACAAAAAACAGAGATCACAAAGAAATCGAGAGAGAAAGTCGGAGTGAGAGACCTTGAGAGATTAAGAGATCGAGATTGAAAGAAAGATGAGAGAACAAGCCTTTCCCTTACGATTATGATTACTTCCTCCTCCCAATTCCATCTCTCTCTCTCTCTCTCTCTCTCTCTCTCTCTCTCTCTCACACTCTCTCCCTCTTTCTCTGTTTCTTTGTATGAAAACGAAATTATGAACCCTTGATTTCGAATTGGGGGAAGAATATGGGTCTTTTCGAGTTCACTAACCAGCACAAAACCGACGATTTGTTCTTGGTTCGTTCGGTTTATTTTGTTTTTTGTTTTAACTTGATTTTTTAATTAATTACAGTTTGTCCCCAAAACCTTTGATTAGAATCAATTAAACTCGACCGTGATGTTGGCACCATATAATTATTAAGTTCGTATATGTGGCATGTATTTAAATAAACTTCGTGTAGTTCTCGACACATTCTGAAACCTGGGATGGTTACTACCATATTAGCCAATACTTCGTGTAGCTGGCAAACTTTTTTCCTTTTCAAAAAGTTGTGAGTGTTGAATTATCATATCAAGCACGGGCAACCACTTCATTAAGTCATGCTTTAAGCGAGAAGTAGCCATTATTAGGTCAATAATAGGACCTGCTAAGTCTAATACTGCTATCACATAATGGTCAATAATAGGACCTGCTAAGTCTAATACTGCTATCACTTTATAAACGACACAAAATTATGCCTGTAAATTTACTACATGCTTGAAATAAACAAACCATCTAATGCAAAATGTCTGGTGGGTCTTCTTACTTTTTGAATGCCAAAAAAGAAAATCAAATCAATATAGATTTTTTTTTTTTGGGTCAACAATGAATATAGATCTGAAAACTGAAATCAATGCAAATTTTCTAATGGGTCTTCTTTTCTTCTAGTCTTTTGTCTCGCTACAGCAAATACTAAATCCAAATTGAATCACATTCAAATAGCTAGTCAAATACAGTGTCCTAAAATCATTAAATATTATACATTATGTGAAGTAGACATCATATAACGAATCATTTATAAACTTAAAAGATAAATAACTAAATGTAAAAATGAATGAGAGAACGTGATGTTTCGCAGTGTTGTGCCCTCTGTAAAGATTCTCTACCTCCCAATTGATTCTCACTCTGCCCTTTTTGCATGTCTTTTTTTCTCCTCTTCCTAATATACAATGTGACGACAAAATGGCTTATGTACAAAAGGCCGACAAAGAAGAAAGGATTAGTTATAATTAATCGTTTTTCTAAAGAATATTAATCCATGAAACGGCGATTAAAGTAGCTTATAGACTTTAGAGCATCCACACCAATGAACTCCCCTTGGGGTTCATCTTTTCTTTTTTTTTATTATTAAATTTTTTTGTTTTTCTTTTTTGCTTTTTTTAAAAAAAAAAAAAAAAAAAAACAGATAGACCAATCGCGGGCCGCCACGTGTCGTGTGGCCCGCGCTACAGTAATGAACCTCATGAGAGAGGGGATCACTAGAGAGAGTTTTAGGAGAGAGGGGATTATAAAGTTTTATTATTTTAATAGTTTTTTTGTGTTGAAAAATGTGTGAACCCCCATCTAAACCTTTGATAGGGGTGCTCTTATAGCTAATTATAACCATCTTACCCTTAGACGTCATTCCTTTTCTTTTCTTGATCTTGTTTTCTTTTACAAAACGACAAAGCCATTAAAAAAATATCCAATCTAAATGCTATACTCATGCTGAGTTTCCTTATATCTACTAGACTTAACACGTAGCAGCTATATACAACTCAAAACCCATATTTTCTGATTTGTCTTTTGTAAATAAACTTTTTTTTTGTGTGATTGACCTATTTGGGATGCGGAACATAGCGACTAGTTGGAGAGAAGAAAGGACAACTTGAGCTGGGTTCTTAGCTGTTTGGTACATATAGAGCCAGCTGCAACACCGAATAGTAATAATCGAAAGGTAATAATAAAAGATGTAACAAAGAAGACTAACAAACAAAATTTGAAAAGTGTGTCTTCTAGGTGAAATGGTGAATATATATAGTGTATAATAATTGTTTATATATAGGTGAAATGGTGAATATATGTATGTTTTGGTGTAACAAGTTGCAATGATAGAGCTTATATTGGAAGTTTATTGACCGATGTGTAAAAAAGACCTGCAGGCAATTGTCTTGTCCTCTTCTTATCTTCCTCTGTACATCTAAGTACTTTCTTGTTTTTGTTGCTCTTTCACTTTTGTCTCTCTCTCTCATTTATTATTCCTTTTAAATTTTGTACAATGATATTGAATTCAAAGTATTTTCTTCGTTACCTAAGAAATGGAACATCTAAATATTTTTGGGTTGCTTTTATTGTTTTTTTTGTCTCTGGTATATTTGGCTTTTCATGGCGTTTTAGGCGTGTACGAAACACAAATGTCTTCTTTACCGTTCTGAGTAAAAAATGGCTTTATTTCCATTTCCGTATATAACTTTTTTTAAAAATACAGGCATTGAAAAAAAAACCAGGCATTGATTGATCCACGTACGATTACGTGGACAATTTTTTGAAGCAAGGCTCATAAATAGTAGAGTAGCGACTCGTGAGTCCATTATAGGCCCACTATCAAAACTTTTTTCTTTTACTACAAACTAAACCGAATGGAAAAGGAGGAATGATTCCAACTTTGAATCGCAGACCAGAGAGTCCGGTTGGTTCGAGACAAGATTGCGATGACAAAGCTTGAGACTTTCTATCGTGACCTGTGCTATACCACAAGTTAATAGCCTCTGCTGCGCAGCATTTCCACCGGTAGCAAAGTAAGGTTCTTTCATGACCTTGTGCCAAATATATAAACCAGTAATCATATTACTTTAAGTATACTTAAGAGACTGAGTGTCGTGCAAGAAATCTTCTTGTAAGGATATGATAAACTCTCATAGTTTGTAGCTCTTCATTGCCTTCAAGTCATTATTTTGTGAGACTCATGACTTAAACAATTCGCACCACCAAAAAAGTAAAAACGCACTTGTGCACCATGAACCAATATATATATAAAATTATCGCCAGGGAAGCAGTCTAGGTGGTAATAAAGACAACTGAATGACAAAAAAGAGAAGCTAGCAATATCACGCTGAATAAGATTTGAGTCATCAGAAAACACAGTTGACCTAAATCCCTGAAACCAAAGAGCTAGCTAGCTGAAGAGCTTATTTAACTAATACCAGTTTTCCATCATTCACATGTTTCTCAACGCTACCAAGAGGCAATATATTCAGCTTAGTTCGTGGTTCCACGACTCCAGAAGGGCCAGTTGGTTGCACTACATGTCCATTATGAAGCTGATTTTAGCTGTAAGTTGATTTATTTTAAACAAATCTCAAAAACATAAATAAATAAATTTATTAACACCAATCATATATGTTCATAAAAATGAAGAAATAGCAATCCACACACAAAACAAATGAAACAAATGATTTACAAAGAAAACTTGCAGAATTCAAAAGACAAAAGAGATCGGTAGTCTAGAAGACACAATCCAAAACACAACAGCAGCACATTGCAGCCAAACTGCAAAGAGGAAGCAAAAAAACAATCAAACAATATATTCATCAGTGACTCAAAAGAATAATGACAATAATATATGCAAGAAGAAAGACAACATTTTATAAAAATGATATGGTTTGGTGAAAAAGGATATTAAAAAAAAATAAAAACGAAAACTTACCATCCACGTAAAAATCCACCGCTGCCTTTGTTCTGCGTCTGATGCTGCACAATTTGGGGAGAGTCACTCATCATAACCGGGTAACCCATCGGTGGTGGCGCCGTCACGTACGGTTTCTCTCTCAATGTCTGCTTCATTTCTGCATTATTTTATAAGAAAACAATTGATTGATATATAATTAACATATGTCAACAACAATTGTATATATTATTGTAACTTGTAAGAATTCTAACTTACCGTTTTGCTGATAATACTGCTGAGCCATTTAGGTATGTATGTATGAGTTTTGAGAGCTGAAGAGAATACTGTTCTTGGAATATTATAGATCTTTTTATAAATCTTCAAAGTCTCTCTATCAGTTTATATAGATTTTTTTTGGTGTTACATGTTGCTTCTCGGGTAAGACATTAACTAGATGGTGGGTCGTTGGTTCTCTTCTTCGAAACTTCCCAATTCACACCGACAATTAATTTACCAACGACGACGGAAACGCGTTTCAAAATAAAACGACGACACATACTTTGACATTTGGTCATCTTCGAAGTTTCCCGGTCAACGAACGTTTTCTCCTAGGAATATTTTGTTGATAAAGTTTTTTTTTTTTTTTTTTTTTAATTTATAAACCCAAAGAACGGGAATTCAAGTTTCGGTTACAAGTTTGGTTTGAGCAAAACAGTCTAAATCAACTCCAAACCTAACTAGTTTCGCTCAACCACCACACCGGCGCGTTCCGCTAGACAGCTTCAAGAATCTTAAACTATCAATTCCCGTTCTCAACCGATAATGGTAACCACGAGCGGGTGGCGTTCACCTCGTTTCCTCGGTTGCCGGAACATCCGTACCATCATCAGAGTAGCTGGTTCTTGATAAACTCTCCCAAACTTTTCGCCTCCACTGACGTTAAGCTCTAGAAGCCGATAAGAGATCAGGAAAAAGAAAGCATACCTAAGAGCAGCTTCCAAACCTAACCCGATGGACACTGACTAAAAGTGGCTGAGAGAGAGGCAGCAAGGAAACGTTATCATCAGTACCTGCAATAAGAAGAGAACAGCCTACGAGGAAGCTCAAGTGAACCACCATGTACTGGGATGGCTGAGAACTCAAGAAGGTCTCCACATCGAAACGAAATCTGATAGACCCCATCAACCCGCATCGAATCCCTACTCCAGAGACACAGAACATGCCTCGGTCTTACTGCGCACAGTCGCTGAAACCTCGTTGGAGAGACGAAAATCAACAGACTATGCGGAACTGAGAAAGCTCTAAACTTGAAGAACAGAGCATGACCCTGCAATGGCGATGACGCTGATAAAGTTAGTCCTGTAAGAGGTGTGCTTCTTTGATTAGAAGAGCATTATTCATCATGCAATTTCAAGATTATACGTTAGACATTTGCAAAACAGAAACAACCAAAATGTATTTCCGAACCTATAGTTTCAAGACGGGATATAATATGCTCTTCGACATATACAGATGAGATAAACAATGCTATTAAGAAAAAATGAAATTTTTTCGCGTAGATGTACAAAAAACATTGAATAGTTGAAAATTGTTAAACAATGCCATTAAGAAAAATTGAAATTTTAGGCAAATATGTACAAAAACAACATTGAATAGTTGAACATAATTTCAACAATATTTTCATCCACGACGACCATTTAAGGGACCCTTTTGAAAGAAAAAAAGAAGAAGACATAAGAAGGTTTTAATTGTGTTGAACTTCAACACCGCAATAACAAAACCACATCTTCTCTTCCCCTGCAAAGTGTCAACCTAATGGTTTGGTTTAGAAACTAACATTTCATGCTTGCAAAGCATAAGAGCAAATAAGAGCGTTATAATGAAACAGGATAATAAGAGAGTGCAAAGAGGAAAATATTTACGAACACATTGATGAACGAGCTTTTAACTAAAAAGTAAAAACATTCAAAGGGATGGCCAGAGATAAAGTCATATCAATCCATCATAAAACAACAGTAAACAAAAATACGGTAGAGATAGAAAAAAAAGGTGACTAGAGTGAGATAAAGAGAGGGGGTCTTGTGCTTACAGCTTGTCTTCGAAATCAGACAATGGATTCATCTGTTCTTTCATACCATTCCTCTTCCTGATGCCAAACGACATCATCTCCCAATGATCACACACCTCAAACCAGATTCCTCTCATATTCTCGTCACACATAGGACCTTCCTTGGACGCCCAGCAACAACTGAATCCTTGATTTCATTCAGGTACTGAACTCCCTTTGGTTTGCAAGTTTTCTTTCACTCAAATCGTCTTATGTTTTGCTTACTCTTGGTTATAACGTAATGTCTTCATATTTTCGGTACATAGAGCAATGTTTCTAAGTGCTTTTGCTTTTTAAAAAGACAAACTCTTGGCAAAACAAGAACAGATCATCATAATTTTTTCATAACAGACCAACAATAAGCGTTTCAGAAATTGTACTACAGCCTTTTAAGAATCGAATGGAAAGCTTCCTTTTTTTTTGGTATTATTATTAATACCTAGCTAGCTTCAAGAGTTGAAGCTCTGTGCTGAAGCCTTCTTGAGCTCAATAGCTCGTTTATAAGGCGGTGCGATCGGAGGCTGAATCGGGTCCAGACTCCGGTATGACGATCCATCTGCCTCTTTTGGGAGTGGGTACGACCGGTCCGAGTCATAACCGCTTAAGTCACCACATGCCAAGAATGGAATATAAACTTTGTTGGGTCCTTCTAGCCAACCACTGCTGCAATCTGCAGAGTACAAGATGTAATGTAACAGTAAAAATGTATTCCTGTCTTGCCCAAAAAGTTAAGTTCACATGATGGGAGCACTTTAGGCGAGAGTTTTGTTGAGAAAGAGTCATTTGAAAGTGTACTACTCAAGACTGCCCAAGTTTGCTTCTGATATTGGAGATGAAGTAAAGAGAGTTTTTACCGAGATCGCTTCCACCTGATGGGCTTCCGACTTTCTCCAAGAGACGATGCAGATCTCTCGGGTTAAATCCTTCTGGCGGGGAGTAATTTTCGCAGACCGCAAAAGCCTCTATTTAAAAACAAAGTAGAGAAATGCAATCAGAATCTCTTAAAAAAAAAGGCAACATTATACATCTTTGATGATTGACGTGTAGGTGCATATTTGCACAAATGAAAGTTTATACTCGTATACCTATACTAGAATTGCGACTGCTTTTAGGTTTCGCAAAAGTTACACTTGGGAAAAACAACTTCAGCTACACATGGATTCAAATAAACAAATATATCAGTAAAAGAACCAGTTAGTTAATTTCTTAAGAACAAATTAATCTAAAAACTTACCTGACAGTACAAGAGACTTGTATCTTTTCCACGGAATATCTTTGCAATAAATTTGCCACCTTCTTTAAGAATATGTGTTACAATCGTTAAGCCCTAAAGAAGAAAAAAAGATTTGATTATTGTTTGTTATTATCTATAAAAAACATGCTTCGGGTTTATGCTAAGTTTTTGTTGAAAAATGACATGCCGATTCTTGTAAACAGAAAGCAAAGCAACTTACCGCTAATATGAGTTGGGACTGGACAAATTCATCCATGTCATGCAAACCAGTAACTGCGAACCAAATTGTGGAATTGTGTTATTTGGATAGCATGTGGTAAAAAAATGAAAAGTGAAAAGGACTATAACTAGTGGTTTACCATCTGGAGCACCATCACAGACAACCAGGTCAGCCTTGCAACCGTCAAAATGTCGTATGACCTTCAGAATTAAAAACCCGGAAAAAGGTAAGCCATAGAAACAAACAAAAACTCCAAGCATAACAGATGAGAAATAAAGATATGCGGATAAATAATAGATATGATGAGTCAAGAAAAATTCACCACTTCGGCAGTCCGGGCATTAGTTATGTCTCCTTGAACCTGGATTACACCTTCAATTGGAGCCATAGGCTGCAAATCTATGGCCACTATAAGAGGAAGATCTTCTTCTCTGCAAAGTGATTCAGCAGTTTGACATTCTCAACAAGTGTGAATTACTAAACGAGCACAGTTAAGAAATTAAAGAAAAACTAAGTTCAAGTGTGATAATTATGTGACAATTTTACACAATGTAATAACTTACTTTGACTCAGCCGAATACTTTGCAGGAAGATACAGTTGCCGACTCAGAACCTACAAAGAGGACGCCGATAAGATTTAGAACATGTTTCCCTTTAATGTATCCACCGCAAAGCGAGGAATTAGACATGAATTCGAGATCATCCCTTGCCCTCCCAAGTTTATTTTCCCAATACCTATCACCTCCTCTATGTAACTCCTCCAATATTACTCTAATCGTACTAAGTAGTCAGTTAGCTAACTACGATCCCAACTCAAGTATAATCATATACCCTGAGTATCTAAAAAGAATAGCTCTAGACATTCTGAATAGTTCTTCTACGCAGAAAGATGGGCGGTAAGAGATAACACAGTCGATTGACATTTATGCCCCAATTTGAATAAAATAGTAAAAATCACCATACTTGACTCCAGCTACCAGGTGCAGCACATAAATCTACAACCCTCTTTACTCCTGTATTAATATTAAAAAGAGAAATAAGTCATCGTTAAATAATTGGTATATATTTATTACATTTTCAGCTGCAAAATCTTGGCTGCACTCATGCTATAAATATTTTTAAGACAAAGGACTTTTGATGTGTGACAAAAAATATTCACAGAGATGTGATGGTTAAAAAAAGGATTTACGAGAGAAGACCTTGAAAAATGTTGAATTCCTCATCAATCTGAAGAAGCTTAAAGGCACTTCTGGCACGCCATCCTTCTTCTTTCGCTTTCCGATAGTAAATATCCTACCAACACAACTGGTTAACGCAATACCAGAAATAACGAGTCATACTCAAAATAAAAATGTAAACTTATACAGTACGCTAATAAAAATATGAATCAAAAGGCATACCCTTTTATCCCGAGAAGCTTTTCCCATGTCTTTGTAAAGAAGAAAGGCTTACGGCTATGAACACAAAAAATAAATTCAGACAAGATGGATGTCTAAGAGGCATTCTATCGAACACAATAAGGGCACAACGAAATCGCCAGATTTAATCAAGGAAACCCGCTAAAACCAACGAACGAACTAAAGCAGTTATAGCTAATATGAACCAATAGTTTAGCATAAAATCAGAACTGCAACGAACTAAAGCAGTTATGAACCAATAGCTTAGCAGCATATCAGTATTTCAAGCTCGAGCAAAGTAAATCAGACCAAACAAAATTGGTATGCTAATCAAAACTGAAGAGAGTAGCTCATCTAAACATCAAAGAGAACAACACAGACAAACCTAAGCAATGAAATAGCGAAGGAATATCTTCGTACGTCGTAAAGGAAAGCGACTGAAGAGGAAGAGACAGGGAGCGCCGGCGGAATCGTTTTAGAGCTATAGTAGTCGCTCTTCCTTTGTGGGCTTGTATGGGCCACCAAGTTTCGGCCCATTTAACTTAATTCGACTTAATTCATCCCAAGCTCACTCTTTCTTGTGTGTGTTTTCCCCGCAATCCCATAAGCATCTAGTATGATATTTATCCAAATATTTATTCAAGCTTGGCTAATTTTGCTTTCATCTTAACTTGGATTATCTTTATTTTTTAGAAAAGAAAAGGGAGCATATATCTCAATGAATATATTATTACAAATCCGCACAAAAAGAATTGGTCATGAGAAGAATAAAAGAGTCGATATCATATTCAAAGTTGTGTATGCAGGTTTGGTGTTGGTTATCATCATATAGAATATTTATATCAGCGCCCGCTTGTGAGAAGTCCCTTAAACGATATGTAAAGATCATTGTTTCCTGTCCCGAATATCTCCTCCGCTTTCCTCAACGTTTCCTAAGACAAGAATGGAAGATGATAATATGATTTTCTTTTGGATTCAAATGACACACACACACTTGTCATGTTAACTATTATTACCTCACGGCTCTGCTTCCGTGCGTTTAGTTCCTTGATGTTAGCCAGGAATGCACTGAACTGCTCGTAAGACAACCGACTCCTGCAAAAACCCCTCTGCTTACTCTAGCTACCTCTACCAATAGTTTTATTTCGGAAATATATATGTATATAATCTAACATACCTGGCTTGTCTAAAGAACTCTTTCCCATCAATCCGCGCGTGGCGAGCTGTATAATTTAACACAATGATCCTTGGGAGATTATATATATATAGATACCACAAAATCACATGTTTAAATAAATGGAGAGGCGTCAAGTTGTAAAACCTGAAGTAGAATGTGAGCGAGGAGGAGAGTTTGGTACTGAAGATTGCTGGCTTGATGAAGACCACATGCGTATATCATACTGTGAAGACGTTGGAGATGCAGCTCCAGAGAATAGCTTTGGGGATGAAGCAGAAGAGTAGCTTCTCGGAGAACCACCAGCCGATAAGATCTTTGGAGTTAAACCGGGCGGAGTCAAAGAGGTTCTCTGCCGTAAACCTGTTTCATATTTTATACAAACATCAGAAGAGACACTGTTAGATATGTGTTGATGGATAGACACAATGTTGTTGTAAATTCATCCATCCATCCATACATCATTTACCTTGGTTGTTGTTGGAGTAAGAATCGTATGTGGATAAGCCGCCATTTGAATTATCATCTACAGAGCATATAACATGAGAAGAATCGTTACATGTAGAGACACGATACCTCCTAAAGAAAACAAAACAAAACAAAAAGAGCTATAGCGTGAATGTGAACAACAAGTTTAGAATACCTTTGTCTCGAGCAACCTGTCTGACGTCATTGCTGTCTGTTTGCTGTAACAAACAAAAAGGATATGTAAGATGAGAGATTTTGGTAGATATATACAAACAAAAAAAAAAGAAAAAAGAAAGGATTGCTGAGCATACAGATGGACTGTCATCACTCAAAGACTGCATCAATTGTCTCTTAAATGCTTCCAGCTACAAAATTAAAAAAAAAGGAATAGTAAAAAAGACTTGAGATCATCCGTAACAGATTGTACAAAAGATTCTAGGAGGAGGAAAGGGGCAAACACCTTTACAAGATCACGACCAAGTTTCTTTGCAGTGATCGCCAGTGAATCTCTCTCTTCTCTTAGTTTCATCTTCACAATTTAAAAAAAAAAACATCATTACCAAATTAAACAATATCTCCTCAAAATTCTCTTCAAGTCAAAAAAGTCAAACTACTGAAATGACTTGTTTTTACATTTTCGTTGAGGGCATTCTTCAAAGAAGAGTCAGCCTCATGGTAGAGTCTCTCCAAGGAAGATGCTCTTCCCTCGAGCTCGTAGACAACCTTATCCTTCTCACGAAGCTTCTGCGTCAGGACGGAGACTTGGGAGTCGAGATTGGAGACCCTGGAAGCGATCGCCATTGAAGTGATCTTCCTCGCGAGATCCAGTTGTTCATAAGGGTCCGTTGGGATCACCGCTAGTATCTCGTCCGAGAGACTGAAGTCTGGTCCGCCGCCACTTTGCGACATCTTCACCGGAGAAGCAGGTGGGTCTGACTCTGATCCCTAAGCACTTTTTTTCTATTATTATTTTGTTTTTATTTGGAGAGAGAGAGAGAGACAAAAGACCAGCGCTTTTTTCCTATATTGACAACTTTCATGTTTTAGACCCCGTAGCTATTTTATTATTTATTAAAAAGACCTCAACTTCTGTTATTTTGACATTTATAACCACCTCTTACAACTTTCATCTGTTTTAGACCACTTTGCTATTTTTTCTTTATGTAAAAGGCCTCAACTTCTGTTATTTGTCATTGAAAACCCTTCCTTTCAAAATCTTTTCAAAATGAAACAAGATGAAGTAATGCCCAAACAAATAGGGAAAATTTATCTGGTCTTAACTCAATTGTACACAAAAACAGCTATGAACAAGGGGTTTAAGGTACAACAAACATACACAAAATGTAGTATTAATCTTTTTTATATGAATACCAAAACCTGTTTTCTCATTGTTCTTCAAAAAAGTAACGATTCCCTCTTGTACTTTAGTATGATCAGTCTGCGTAGGGCTGTGAGTCCATGCACAAATGCACCAACTTTCTCTGGTATTGCTGAAAGTATTCGCAAACCGCTGCTACTTCTTCCTTCTCTGGTTCTAGACCTGGTAAATCCGTCATTACTGTGCCTTCCCCAGAACCATTTTCAGGCTCTTCCTCTTGGCTTGATAGCTCAGTTACAATTTCTGAATGAATCTCATTACAGGCAAGCACAAACATGGCTACTGTGTCGGGCTGTTGCACCTCCTTGAGAGCTGCAAGTGCCTCTTGCAGGGAACCAGCAGCCACATATAATATAAGTGCCCTGGCATCCATATAAACGTATTTTATTTTCTCATAAACGTGATTTCTTAAGAGGAAACTATTTTACTTTTAATTTAAACAGTATTAAGAAGGTGATACGGTACCTCCACACATTGTGCTCCGCGTGGAGAACATGATCAGCCCACCTCTGCAATACCCTGAGAGTAGAGAGAGAGAATTAATAGTTAAAGCAAGAAACACGAGATCACAATAATTACCAACACCAATTCTGGGACCAGATTCGAGGGAGAATGAAACTGGAAAAGAAATTACCTGGCATAATCTGATCCTTCTAAATGTGTGGCAGCCAAGGTAGCAGCATCGGTCCATCGCCCAGAATCTTGTAGCTGAATATTATAAATGTCCAATATATTTAATGTGTTTCCCATTGTTACTAAACCAAAGCTAAAACACTCCCTAATAATTGGTAAGATGATAATCCTAGTCAAAGCATAGTTCAGAAGAATATACAATATATCTCGTATTACAAAGGAAACAACGAAGCTAACCTGTGAACAAGCTTCTTGATGTCTTCCAACCGCGCATAGTAGATGAGTGCCAGTGAGCGAATTGTCCGTCCTTACCATGTTGGCTGCAACAACCTGAATATGTGTGCAACAAAAGTGATCAACGGGTCCTTCTTTTAGAAAACAAAAGAGTATCAAACATACCTTCAGTGCAAGGTCGAGAAGAGATTTAGACACAGCTGAAGAGAGTGCAACGGCTCGGAGAGCATTTGGATAGAAGTATGGGGAATCTGGAGAAGAAGTAAGAAGCAAACTAACAGCAGCTTCCAAATTTCCAACTGATATCAGCCTGATCAGAAAGAAATTCACTTGTCACCGCAAGATCTAAAGCGTGTAAACTCAGAATCAAAAAAACTAAAACCTAAAAACCTCAAATTGTAAGTTTCTTGTCTAGTTTTTAAGGACAAACTTTATGACTATAATTAAAGAAGTTAATTGATGTTTAAAAAGTCTGAAGCATGACTCGTCCAGCTATATTGCACAAACATCGTGAGACCCAGATATTTTTCGAACTTACAAATTGCTCTGTTTCTCGAATACCAGTTGCCACTAGTCTATGATAGCAAAATAACCATGCATGGTATCTAAACATATGATCTCTAGTCTTCTTTCTCTTTTTGAACACACGAATACACATAAAAGAATACGAAGAATATATTTCATGTGAAAAGTTGCATGTTAAGTATCGATGGAGGTCGACACAATTTCTCTCAGCTTAAAATTCTAAACTCCACTAGAAAGAGACTTCTAAAATATATAGTTTCCAGTTCACACAGGAGCTACTACTATAAAAAGCAAACCAAAATTCCGGGTGATAAAATGAAAAGATGAACAAAAAACGAGCTAAAGGGGAAAAACTAACTCGTGTACTTGTTTTTGAATGCAATCTTCCCCCTCCAATTTTTCATGCCAAGGAAGACGTTCATTGGCACGTGTCCATAATTCTTCTCGCTCAAACGCCATTAATCTAAGTGAACCATCGCACTGTTCATCAAAATGGGTGATATAAGTTTACCAACACACATTACAAACGAATATAATGATCTAAGCAAAAGAACTCCATTTGCCAAATAAAATCTCGAAACTGACCATAGAATCTATCTTCCTGGCTTCAGGTGTCGACACACCAGTAGATGATATTTTACTCGGCATTGATGCTTCATCAACTCCTGAGGCCGAAGCAGGAGAAGGCATTTTCTGCGGAGACTTTTTCATCAGCTTGTTCATCAGATGGCGAATGGCTCGAGGCAGTTGCAACCAAAAATAAGCTTCTGAGGTTTCACCAAAAATTGCAGCCGCAAAAGCAAATCTCGCAGCATAACCTTTCTTGACCACATCAGCATAGATTTTTGCTCTTTCATCATCCAATAAGCAACCTAGGATGAAGGAAATTTAGAGCAGGGTAAGAAACTAGAATACGGAAGCAGATACCTAGAACGAGAGACGTTAGCCTGTAGTGATACTATACTAAAAAGTGAAAACAACCTTCTTTTCGATAGGGTTCTAGTATCTTCAGCAGCATCTCTGGCACTACAGGGTCTCCTAAAGGTGGTAACTGAATCATGTAGCTCCGAAGATCTTTAGAAGATGAAGCCATTCCACGGATCAAATGAGGCCGTTTCTCCAAACTGGTGCTACACGTATTAAACCAAGATGGTTTCACTCCCAACTGTAAAATCATCCGTAGTGCCTACACGCATAATAATTTAGAAATATTGTCAAGAGTAATTGAGTAACAGTAATGTAAATCGAAAGCTCAACTCTCCGAATTCTTCTTCAGTTATATGGGCTTAGCTTATCGATAAATAGTACTTGTACATGATTTCAGTTGTGAACCAAGACAGAGTACCACAAAGAATTCAGAAACAGGAAGCATTCTTAAGTAAAGAAAGTTACCAGCGCATGTGGTACAGGAAGTAGGATAGGGGAGTACATAGGCATAGGGCGGAATCTCTCCTTTACAGATTTAGACTGCGGCACAAAGCCACCCTTCTTTTCATTTCTGCAAATAAACAGAAGAAAAAGTTGGAAAACTAAGATAGCAGAAGTGATTGTAGCCAATTTAGACTTGGATCAATAATAATGGAAAATCAGAAATAATCAAATAAGATCCTATATTACATGTCTAGCCTAGACAGACAAAGTAGAAAAACGTAGACATTCTATACCCTTTGGCTTTAAAAGAAAATAATTATAATCTGATCTAATCTGAATTTCACGGGACTCTGAATACAAATTAATTTCCACAAAGAGCTGGTGTATACATACACAATAACCTCAACGAGTCGGAAGGTGCTATCAGCTCCAGCAATGCATAGAACAAGTGGATCACTTTTATCAGTTCTCAGAGGCAACCAATCAAGTTCCAGTACAAGGGTGCCAGGAATTTGGGGCTGCAAAAGCGACTGGGCTACCGGATCTGGTGAATCCTGCAGCAAAAATTCAGTAGCAACTGTCAAAACAAATATTTTAGGTTGACCGAGACATATTTCAAACAACAAGTATCAATAAAACCAGTATTGTGCTTCTTTTCTCCTCAAGTTGCAGATATTTGTACGATGGCTTTGAAAACACAAGACGTGCCCAACTTATAGAAAATAGCGAATTCTCTTAGGACTCACAAGATCATATACAGAGAATGTATTGTCATTAAATAGCACAGCTACACGCCCTCGGCTGCGATCTCCAGCAACAACAGGTGAGAATTTGATTCTACGTACTCCGTCTCTGTGACTATTAAATGCAGATGACTGTCCAGTTGTTACATCCCACCATCTTATGTTTCCCGATCTATCTCCCATAACCTGAAAATGAGAGCAAAATATGATTTTCCAAGGATAGATTAAAGAGACAACTGGAAAGTGAAAGAAACGAACCACGTGAGGCAAGCGATAAGCCATGGCGGTAACCAGTCCGTCTGAAGGAACAAATGAAGTAGATGGCCACTTTGGTCTAGAAACAGAAGCGGACCATGTATATCAATAAATATAGAAGCAAAATTACACAACAATCAAGGTCTGCGAAGGTGATTTCTGATTCATGTGAAAACCGAATGAAAGAAACTTCAAGCAGTGAAACCACACTTTTCTGAAATTGGACAACGAAGATCCAATCATTATCTCACAGTTTTTTCTAAAATGAATTTAGTGACGCGTGGCATTTAGAGACAAATCATAGAACAGAAAAGTATAAGGAGAACCACTATTTCAAAAATTTCAGCAGCACCTATAAGGGTTTGCTACGAAGATAAAAATTTCCGAACAACAATTGAGTTAATGGAACAAACTGTTATACCTGAAATCTCGAATCCTACGTCCTTGGACTTCAAATACTCCAAGGGCGCCGTTTACTAGTGCAAATGCAAAACTCTCTACAGTTTCTTCTTGTGACCCATCCGACTCTGCAGATATGTTAATTACCAACCATTAGAAAAAGATGCATCAGACACTGGGCTAAGTCTAAGATATCACAATTTTAGTGTCATAAATATCTCACTAGAATCCGCTGAAGCAGTTGTTACTCCTTCAGATGCTGGTGGCAATTGCTTGGACGGACCGCTTTGAACTGGGCGTGGAACTGCTGGAAGCGTCCATTCTACTACCGTAAACGGAAGAGCTAATGATCTAAGCTACACAATAAGAAA